ACAAAGCCTAGAATGTCGAAGCTGACGCAGGACTACGATATATCTTCCCGATCCGTTCTGCAAATGTCACGCCGCACAATCACCTGTCGGATAGAAGCCGAGCCGTTGACACCAGCGGGTGATGTGCTCCAGTCATCCAAACTTTTCTGCTGAGACTTAAAGTGCGAGTTCACCTCTGCAGTACAGAAAAACTTCCGTGAATTCAGATTCCAATATACAATATATTGCCAAAAGTATTGGGACATCTGCCTTTACACATATATGAACTTTAATGGCATCCCAATCTTAGTCCATAGGGTTCAATATTGAGGCCAACCCTTTGCAGCTGTAACAGCTTCAACTCTTCTGGGAAGGCTGTCCACAAGGTTTAGGAGTGTGTCTATGGATATGTTTAACCATTCTTCCAGGAGCGCATTTGTGAGGCGCACTGATGTCGGACAAGAAGGCCTGTCTTGCAGTCTCCACTCTAATTCATCCCAAAGGTGTTCTATCGAGTTGAGGTCAGGACTCTGTGCTGGCCAGTCAAGTTCCTCTACCCCTAATTTGCTCATCCATGTCTTTATGGACTGCTTTGTGCACTGGTGTGCAGTCATGTTGGAACAGGAAGGGGTCATCCCCAAACTGTTCCAGCAAAGTTGGGAGCATGAAATTGTTCAAAATGTCTTGGTAGGCTGATCCCTTAAGAGTTCCCTTCACTGGAACTGAGGGGCCAACCCAACCCCAGAAAAAACAACCCCACACCTTAATCCCCCCACCAAACTTTACACTTGGCACAATGCAGTCAGACAAGTATCATTCTCCTGGCAACCGCCAAACCCAGTCCACCAGTGCCAGACAGAGAAGCGTGACTGGTCATTCCAAAGAACACATCTCCACGGCTCTAGAGTCCAGTGGTGGTGTGTTTTACACCACTTCATCCGCTGCTTTGCATTTCACTTGGTGATGTAAGACTTGGATGCAGCTGCTCGGCCATAGAAACCCATTCCATGAAGCTCTCTACTCACTGTTTTTGTGCTAATCTGAAGATCACGTGAAGTTTGGTGGTCTATAGCTACTGACTCTGCAGACAACAGTTGGCAACTTCTGCACACTATGTGCTGACCCCTCTCTGTCATCATTTTTTGTGGCCTACCACTTTGTGGCTGAGTTGCTGTTGTTTCCAGTTGCTTCCACTTTGTTATAATATCACTAACGGATGATCTTGGAGTATTTAGTAGAAAGGAAATGTCACGGATGGACTTATTGCACAGATGGCAACCTATCACGGTACCACACTTGAATTCACTGAGCTCCTGAGAGCGACCCATTCTTTCACAAATGTTTGTAGAAGCAGTCTGCATGCCTAGGTGCTTGATTTTTTTATACACCTGTGGCTATGGAGGTGATTGGAACACTGGTATCCAATGATTTGGAAGGGTGTCCCAATACTTTTGGCAATATAGTGTAGATTGAAAGCTGGAACTGTAAAGGATGAAATGACCAGATAAAGTGGGGCAGGTTGTTATGGATACTAAAAGACCACACAATGATGCTGTATGCATTTTAGGCCATGGAAGGGTTAATTTTAATGGGTGCCCTGTGTTATGATGGGCAATGTCAGTCCATTAACCCCCCTTATATCCCTGCAAACTGTCAGTTCCCTAATTGCCAGAAAGGACTCAGGTGTCTGTCGCAGTGAAAGGTTTAAACACACAATGGAGGTTAAGGTGTTATTATTCTGATGTTCAGTGCTCTTAAAAGTGACAGGCTAATCAAGCTGCCCACTGCACAAAGTGGGGCGAGTGAGAGAGCGCTGATAACTCTGAGTCACCCAGTAGACACTGCGGCCGGAGAGTCTGGTTCTGCAGGGCAATCAGCTGTACCTAGTCTGACCTGTCTGCTTTCTCAGCTTGCCCAGGTTCATCATAGTAAGATTTTCTTATGGTAATATCCCTGCTAACTAATACTAATCCAAACTATTTCTTCTTTGTTACAATAATTCATATCAGCAGAGCCTGTATTTGTCATGCTGGCATTCATAGGCCAGTGCCTAGGGCAGTAGTGCTAGAGGGGGCGCCAAGCCTCAAACTCTACAAAGCATGATAACTTCTCCCTTGTTTTTGTTCCCATTTCAACAACCTCTGTCCACTTGTGGAGAGCTGTAGGGAGAAGAAGAGATCCTTGGGATGCTGAGATAAGTCAGAAGACTTACTATAGTTAAAGTAGAACTTGAGGGGATGATATATTTTGCATACTTGCATACGACCAGCTTGCCACAATGTAAGTATACTACTGTGATACTTGATCGGCGTCTGTGAAAGCAGTACATCATTGTAGGTAGCCAAAACCACTACAGTAATGGCCGGGGTCTTCTAACTGCCATTCAGAGAATGCCCTGCATTTTTCTCAATGCATCTAAAACGTTCTCTGATTGGACAAGGTGGAGAGTTGGGGCAATGACATTACGATCTCCACCTTATTTGAATAGAGAATACTTTGCATTTATTAAAGGAGAAATATGGGTTTATGAAAATAAAAAATATCCATACTCCCCTCTATGCTGCAGAACCACCGTGATGCTGCAGCTGTCTTACGTCAGTGCTAAGACTCAGAATTGAGCTATTACATGACCACTAATCGTGTAGCTCTTAGTCTGCTTGGAGCACAGAGTGGTGACTGTCAATCAATGCTCTTCTTTCTGCCCCTCCAGGGCTCCCTACAGCACTGGGGTGCAGAAGGGACAGGTGCAGCTGGCTTTGGCTCCAAAAAGTGGAGCTGTCAATCAAGCAGACATGGAACTCAACAATATTGCTGGGATCCTTTCAGAGCATTGAGACGCAATAGCCCACTATTGGGTCACAGAAGAGCAAAAAAAAAGTGCACTCCTGTGATCCACAATAGTAGTATGACCAAAAAAGCTTTGGCCATACTCCTCTTTTAGAACAACCTTTCTCAACCTTTTTCATAGAGGGGAACCATTTAAATAATTTTCATGTCTTGGGGAACCTCTGCTAAATTATTACAATTAAATTATTAGTTCTAGTTCACAGCACAATTGCATGGTCAGTAAGTTGTAAATATAATAATACACATAAGAATAAAAAATGCCATTTATCTAGCATAGTTGACACACAGAATAGATATTTTTTTTAACACTCTCCTGTTCTATAAGAAAAACATTAAATAGAATATAAAATATTATTAATGGCCAAAAAAGAAATACAATTCAGTAACAATCATGAAATAGAAAATAATATTAATAGCAGGAAAAAGAAATACAATGGTGAAAATGTTGGTGTTCAGTGCAGCAGTGCCATACACTGGTGGCCAATGGCCAAAGTAACAATCATGAAATAGAAAATAATAATAATGGCCAGAAAAGAAATACAATGGTGAAAAAGAAAGTTGGCCTATAAAAGATTCCACAACAATAAACTGCTTACCCGCTGACATAATCACCAAAAAGCATCAGAAGGATCTTAAATATAATATTTTCTTCTCTGCTTGTTAAAATTTTACTGCAGGAACACACCTCCCTCCGATGGACTTCATGTGGATGCTGCACACTTCATCGAGGACTAAATTGCTGACCACTGTGTCCAGAATATAATTTTCCAAAAACCTTCCAAACCTTTCATTTCCCCTCCACCTCCCCAACAGTCAGATATATAGCTAGTGAAGTATCACATAGATACACAACTGGCCGAAAGTTGCTCTATACTGTAGCTCAACTCTGGACAAACCACTAAATGAACATTTAGATATATTCGAGCCATTTTACCTGCCTGACAATCAATTCCTAAGATATTCACACAGCAGTGATAGACATTGCAGATGTCTCCTCACTAACTCTACCCTGTGATTGGACAGTAAAGGAGAAGCAGTCTACAGAAAATCATCTCTTTTCTCTTTACTCCTGTTACTCTTTCCCTTGTCAGCAATGGGTTACAAGAAGCTGAAATAAAGTCAAATTCAGATCTTTGCACCAGTTCCATGTAAAATACATTTAATAGTTTATATTATAACAATTTAAAATGTGCAACTGTGCCCAGACTATAGCTGGCTATACACTGCTAGATTTTTGTACAAGCAAAAAATGTCAATATATCCATAATTGCCATCTGACACTTGACAAGCGTCATTCAAAAATACTAAGAGCGGTTGTAAAGGTTAAATTTTTTTTTTCTGTGTGTGTGTGTGGTCTATATTGCTGTTGGGACAATTTTTACCTTAATGCAGGAAATGCAATAAGGTACAAATGTCTTGCCTTTAGAACCACTTCAGAAAATAAGTTTGCTTTTAGGATTTGCATTGGGAATAAATTAAATAATTAAATTTCCCAAATGAAACCATTAACTGTTAGAATTGTTTGTTTTTTGGGGGGGGGCGGGGGTTGAAAACAATTCTCATTTGTCCTTATTGGCTATTAGAAAAATTTATTGAACATTCCAAAAATAACATTTTTGAACTACATTCTACTGGTGTATGGCCAGCTTAAGACGAAACAGTATTTACATATTATTGAAATGGTTGTAGACCCTCACATATACCCAGTGAAGTGACTGGCCTCAGGTGATACACAGGGATAAAAACCAATCCTCCTACAAAAGTTGTACCTGTCTATCTTCAGTCTTCTCTACATCCATTCAAAGTGCTGAATTTAAAACGCTTGTCTGAGCTCTCAGAAAGCAAGGGGCAGAAAGCTGATGTTACTGCAGAGCTCAGTAAGGAGAGCTCTAAGAGCTGTTTGGAGGGAAGGGACACACCCCCCTCCACACAGTACACAGGAACAGAGCTGAGGCTGTGTGCTGGAACTCCTTCCACTGTCACCTTTTTTGTCTTGGTGTCAGGAAAATTTGTCAGAAGTCACTTCTGCAGATAGCAGAGGAACGGGGCAGCAGACAGAAATAACATGTAGTGCTCTGGATTGAGACAAGTACACACTATAGAGGGACATGCTTTCTTCATATTTCATGTTTACAACCACCAGGGGTGGACTGACCATTTGGAAACTCGGGCAGTGCCCGAGGGCCCGGGGTCAGTAGGGGGCCCCATGAAATGCCCCTGGTACCTTTTTCATAGGCTTTTTTTTTGAGTTTTTGCAAGGACACAGGGGCCCCATGATCCCTATTGCCTGGGGGCCCCATGAGTTGTCAGTCCGCCCTTGACAACCACTTTAAGCAATAAAAGAGAGAATAACTTTTGCTGAGTGAAAAAAAAAATTCTCCTCTGGCTAATCTGTGCACATTGCAGGGATTTTAACAAACTTTGTAGCAAATTCTACCTTTTGTTGCTGTGAAGAATTAGCTGTTTGTTTCTCAATGTCCCTAGCTGATTCCCTGCATGGGAGGGAATGCCCTCATTATAACCACCTGCCGCACTTTAGATGTTATAATGAGAAAAAGCTGCAGTGGTTTTATCCCTGTGGAAAAAGTTAACCCTTAGGAAGTATATTACCAAAAATTTAATTCATGTTGCAGAGGATGCCTAAAATATTGCTCAGACATCTGAGAGAATCAGTCAGCCAATCACACAAGCAGGAAATGACATTTCTGGAGCTGTGCCATATACCACTGGTGAGCAAAACACCTCCATTTTGCCATATTGCACTGAATTTCTTTTAAACATTTTTAGAAAATTACAGGACCACAGACTGAAATGGAAAGGTATTCTTTATTAAAATTTAATTTACACAATGGCTTTGGTAGCATTTGTATTTGCTATATTATTATTTTATGTCAGTGAAAATTTTTAAAAATATTTATATTTTTTAAACATAATCTTCAGATTTTTTTAACATATATAAAAGTAATTTAACATATATGTTTACATATATATGTAAATGCATTCCAAAAATGTAGATTTGTATTTTTAAAGACATACAGTATATTTGAAATGTATTTTGAAAAATATTTTTTTTCAGATTTTGTAATAACGCATTTCAACATACAGTGTGTATGTGTGTGTGTATATGTATATATATATATATATATATATAATTTTTTTTATTGAAATATATTGAGTATGGACAAAATTGTAGTATTTCAAATACATATCAATACATTTGGGAACAATATTTTTAAAATATATTTCAAGTAGATTTTTCTTCCATATGGGTAAAGAGGGCTTACAGCAGGGGTGTCCAACTCAATTTCATGGTGGGCCACATCAGCATTATGGTTGCCCTCAAAGGGCCGGTTGTATCTGTAAGACTAGATGTCCAGAGCACCCCACCCTCCCTTACATCATTGCCCACCTCCCCTTACCTGCTGGAGGCAGAGCTGGGAAGCAGAAAATGCAGGGTTTGGAGGAGGACTAGAGGAGGTCTGGAGTCAGCTGAATGCTGAGACAAGGGGGTGCTGCGGCTGCACAGAGAGGTGCAGGATCTGTAAGAGGATTTCTGTCCTCTTTGCTGCCAACTACTGAGACCAGAGGCGGGGAGGTTGCAGAGATGAGCCTCTCTGCGGCTGCATGGAGAAGCACAGGATCTGCTGAAGGAGTTCTGTACTTCTCTCTTCTGCTGATTGTTGAGATGAGGGGGTGCCACAGCTAATGGCCACATGAAATAGCCTGCAGGGCCGAATTTGGCCCTCGGGCCTTGTGTTTGACATCTGCGGCTTAGAGTATAGGGATGGGGGATAGAGTAGGCAATGGTTAGGGGTTTTGGCTGTAAGGGGAAGAGCGTGTGTCTGCCCAATCATGCACAAAACTTGGGGGGTGGAGGTTGGGGACTGCAGTGACAGATTAGGGTGACAGGAGCATTAGGAAGGTGAGTATAAACTCTTGCAGTGCCCCTTATCCAGCCATGCTGTTACCTATTCAATGGGTTTCCTTTCATCCTTTTCTCATTGATGCATGTAAGACTACAATGCAGAGAGAGGTAATAGCTACATTTACAGTTTATTTAGCGTAAGGACTTTGTTTTATTTGGAGCCTTCCATTAATAAAACATACTGCACTGTTTACTTCCCGGCTTTGCTATCCAGCTCACCCATTCAGCTCACACCATTTTGTATTGCAAATGAATTGATCTCTGACATGGATCAATAGCCAGGTTCCTCCTGCTGTAATTAGATAGAGCTCATTCTGCCAGGTTACTAGTACAGAATTCCCCAGTGTATGTAAGTGGAGCTCCCGGCACACAGCTGTATACTGACAGTATATGGACACCAACTACAGCTCTATATACTGGTATTGTCTTCATATATATTCAGGGCTGTCTTAATGCATGGGCACTACACAGGAGCCCTAGGTGCATGGGGGCCCCATGATAATCTTGCTTTACATCATACTTACCAACTGTCCCGGATTTGCCAGGACAGTCACTCTTTTTACCAAGCTGTCCCAGAATAACCCAGGCAACATCCCAAAACTTGTACTGTGCCCTCCTGATCCCAGTATTGTGCTTTCCTGACTTGGGCCTGGAGGGAGCCCACCCCTCCTTAAAGACACAGGGGTGCACGGAACACCCAGCATATATAGCACAATGGCAGTTGTATACCAACATTTGGGGTGTTGCCATTTGTTTCTACTGTTGGTATATTGGTGAAGGGCGCACTGGACACATTAGCTGCCATTGGATATATGCTGGGTGTCCAGTGTTCTACTGTGCCTTTAAGGAGGGGTGGGCTCCCTCCAGGCTAGCCTGCCCCTCAGTCTATACATTATTATGCATTTGCTTCTACTATGGAGGCTCTCAAAATGTATAGAGTTAGGACTGCAGAAAACACTGGGGTGCCATGAAGAGGCTTTGCGGCTTATGCATGTATTTGCAAATGTGTGCAAAGGAAACCGCTGTTTTTAATGTGAACTGTTAGACAGGACAGTTCGATTGGTTGCAGGCTAGTTGGTAGGTTGCATGCAAAGAAACAAACAGAGGGCACATGGGCCTAGTGCATTACCTTAAAAAATGGGTTTATTGTATAAAAAGTAGTATACTCACAAAAAAATCAAAGGCACATCATATGAAATACAGCATGGTCCAATCTCCCTGGAAGATGTCTTGTAGGGGACTAAAGACCTCCAAATTTCTGACTCGTTTCAAGGCTAAGCCTCTCCCTCAGAGCTCAGTGTCCACTCCATAGAAATCAGCTCATTTAAGAGAGGACACAGGTTGTGTAGGTATTGGCTCTGAGGAAGAGGCTTAGCCTAACGCGTCAGTATTTGGATGTCTTTAGTCCCCTACAAAGCACCTTCCAGGGAGATTGGACCATGCTGTATTTCATATGATGTGCCTTTGATTTTTATTCTTTGTGAGTATATCACTTTTGATACAATGAACCCATTTTTTAAGGTAATGAACTAGGCCCGTGTGCACTCTGTTTCTTTGCTTGCAGTTCATTTGGATTCCCCTGGTCCATTGAGGGCAGCAAGGCGTGCATCCCATAGGCTACCTATGTGTGGTTACAATTACTGTGGAGTTTATCGTCCAGCGCAGGAGTCAAAGCATCTGCTTGATTTTCTTCTGGTTGGTAAGTTAGGCTGGGAATTTTTCTTTTTTTTTGTTTGACATGCATCTCCCTTCCATATGCTCCTTGCTGCAAAGGCTGGGGCAGTTGCCATTTGTTTGTACTTCTAGAAGAGTTTTGCCTGTAGAAGCAGGTAATGTATCCTATGTGTCCATTCAATTTACGACATTAAGGCTCCATGCACACTGGTGTTTTTTAAGCTCCTAGAAGCTGTTATGAGCATTTTGTTCTGTACCTAGAAGCTAATAGAGTTATCCTATGTGTCCATGCACACTATTTTATGGTAGAAGCACATTAGTACAAACAACGCTCAAAATTTGCGGGGGTTTTTTTTCTCCTGCCAAGAGCACGGGCATTTTTTTAAACCAGTGTGCATAGACTCATGATCATAACTTTATTATTTTTGTACCTTTCTCAGGGAACAAATTTTCCCCTCTTTTATTACCTAGGGGAGGTTAACGTTTACAGGCAGCACCCGCAGCATCTTGGGATACCCATGTCGTGCATTCCAGGAGGCCATGAGTATTTTACTGCACATGCTCAGCCTCATGTTATCAGGAGACCAGTTGTCTCTTACTGGTTTTTGCAGACAGCCCCCTGATGATGCAATATCAGCACATGTACGTCATCAGGAGGCTGGCTGCAAGAACCCAGAGAAGATAGCCAGCCTTCTGATGATGTCACCAAAGAAGATGGCAACACCAGACCTAATATACTGCAGTGGGGCTGTGGATCCCTATAGGACACCGTTGGATCGCTAGGCATGTGAGTATCTTTTCTGTGCAAAACCCAGCAAAAGAAGTAAGGGGGAAGGGTAACGTGGGGGACGGGGAAGTGAAGTTCCACTTAAAGGGGTGAGATTCCCCTCACATATTTACTTTCTTGGTTTTCTTCTCCATTGGTAATTTGTGCGCGAGGACCTAAACAGATGTATTGTGGTCAAAAAATGGTTCAAGATAGGATTCAAATTGGGTACCTCTCACTGAGTGTCTTTTGGTCACTTAGGAGTCCAGGGTGCCTGTGAACCAGCATGTGGTTTTTTAAGCACTCTTTATTAGCACACTTAAATCCATGCAAACTGGGCTTAAAAATCGCTGCTTTTACAGGTGTTTTGCTTGCAGATGCAGCTCATTGTTATCCTATGTATCCATGTACTTTAGAAGGTTTCAAAAGAAACCTCGTTTGCATTTTTGAGAGGAGTTTTCTGGGAGAAAAAACAATAAATGTCCCTAAATGTCTATTCAAAAATGTTCTATATGAGTGCTTTTTTTCAGCCAAGAGAACTGATGTTATTTTAAGCCCAGTGTGCATGGACCATATAAGAGAGGAGGTGGGGAGAAGTACAATAACAATAAGAACATAATAGTGAAAAAAATAATAAAAATTATTATTCATAATAATAATAAATAAATGAAAGATATATATATATATATATATATATACACACACGCGCAAAATATGTATGTGTGTGTGTATATATATATATATATATATATATATATATATATATCTCCAAGAAATCATAACTAGTATTACAAGGAATAGTTTGTATTTTTTAAACTGCTTTATTTAGAAAAAATGTCACGTATATCTGAGCACATCAGATATCTGTATATGTTGGAGATATCAATCAGAGTAACAAATGACAAAGGTACAGCCAGCTTCAAGGAACATTGAAC